CTTTGCAGCGGACACGCGGCCATTGGCCGCCAGCGACGGCAGTCACGTTGAGTGCCAGTTGGTCGTGCATCCCCTTGCGCTCGAAGCGCCGCTGCTCCATGACAGTCGGCCACAGGTCGCCGCCCTCCTCGAGGTTGTCCCCGTGCTCGTGCTTCGCCGCCTCTGTCCACAAGTCGCGCCTCAAATCGGCCCCGAAATCATCTAGCAGCTCCTGGAAGCAGCCCGTGGCGACAAAGGTGCCGTCCTCAGAGGTCGGCAGCTCCCACAACTCCATCTCTTCAGCTCCAGGTCGATGCCAACAGGTTGCCGTCGTGGGTATCCATCCTCCGTCCATGAGCGCCGCTATCAGAGCGCCAGTTGGGCCTCGTACTGCTCGCCATCTCTTCGTTCCAAGCTTGTGGAATCTCGCCTTGATAGCTGGCCACGCTTTTGTCACTCGTCGGTGAATGTGAGGAAACTTCTGCCACATGCCTATCCACTCGCGTAGCACTCCAAGGCGTAAGTCCACCGCAGGGTCTCTGAGGCCCAGCTCCATGCCCAACTTCGTCGTTAAGCGCCGACCTCCTGCACTGCCACCTGCCACTTTGCCAGCCTGTCTGCGCAGCACGGTAATCTCATGCTTGGACATGCCGAACGTCTGCTGACCGTAGATTGCCTGCGGCAGCGCACCTATGTTGTAGAGGCCATTGGACTCCTTCTTCAGCGCCGCGATCCTCTTGAGCTTGACGATTATTATGTCAATCCTCTTGCGTGCTTTAACTTGTCTCTGCTTGCTCTTAGTGGTGACCCGCTTCCTGCCACCAGCCGTATCAAGTCCGAGGTCCATTGCAATTCCATATGTTTTAGTTGGTATTCCTCGCCGTCGTAGTCGCTGAGCAAGCTTCTTGGCGTCCTTCAAGTCGGAGCCGCATACAGTGGTTTCATCTGAAATTGTCATACGCTCCTGTACCAATCCAGTGCAAACACCAGTAGGAACCTCCAGGAGCTGCTCGCCCACCACGTTAGCGCTGCCTTCACATCTCGCCACCGCGTCGTCCACGAATGTACACAATCCTGCTGAAGGTGTTCGTCTGTGGGCGATCTCCAGTACTGGATGAAGAAATAGTTTGGCCACCGTAACCCCATCGTGCCGATCCTGTCACCAACGACCTAGAGGGCCAAATCGCCTCGCTGGTGACTGAGCGCTCCTGCAAACAACGCGGCCCGAGGAATACAACTGCCTCTAATCCAACGGCCATTGCTGGGAAACCTGCCGTGCATGCTATCTGCCTCAAGATAACTAAGGGCACCGTGTCGTAGAACTTCTCTATGTCCAACCACAATGTCATGGCCGACGCGCCGATCTCGATGCCCGTCTCGCCCAGGCTTGTTCTCAATACTCCAGCGCAGGGTGCCGATCTGCCTTTTTACCGCTGTGTCCCAATGGTCTGAAAGTCCAGCACTCCAGCAAACACCGCCACGCGCTCTCGACAATAACTTCACTTGTAATGGTAGCAGTCCCAGGACTCCATCTCCTCCAGCAGGGCCAGGCTTAGCAACCATCGCACATCTGGTTGCCGAAATTTGACGTGGCCATGCCACTTGTCTCTCACTCTCAGCGATGATGTCCAGTAGCTCATCCTTTGCCACCGTGGGGGGCCTGTCTATATCTGTGGGGCCCAGCCAGTCCAGGCCCTTCGTTTTGGATGCCGAACTCGCCCTCAGCGCACCGTTGAGCATGTCCATGTCAATTGTGCCCAGGTCCTCCATCAGCGCACGACGCCTGGTGCACTCCAGCTGCTCGATAATGTGCTTCCTGTCGTCCACAGGGTCAGTCCAGATGCTCTCCAACTTCTTAGCCTTCTCACTCATGATGATGGCGGGGTCTGCCGTCGCGAGATCTGGTCTGAGAGCCGTCTCGAACCTGGGCGCCTCCCTCGGCTTCACGTGTCTGTGCAGCATTCCCGCTTTCGTCTGCCATGCTTTCTTCGCCCAGGTCGCGAAACTCGCCCTTGCCGTCGCCATCGATCGTGACGATGCCGTTGCCAAGTGCGTCTCCGTCTGGTCCACCAGATTTGCCAACTGCCCCTCGTCCAATTCCGAAATATATCTTGCCATCTCGAAGTGTATGTTACTGCTGGTGATCGGAACGTGCTTGCTGAACGCGTCCTTCTGCGGAATATTGCTGATCACTTGCAGCTGTTTCTTGATGCGAGTGATGCACATCCTTTGCTGCTTGACGTCTGTGCCGTTCACACACAACGACTGGTACCTTATCATATCGGCCGCCAGGATGCTCCACTCTTCTGCTGGTCCAAATCTCATGCGCGTACGTCCTGGTGTCGGTCTGGCCCTTATCCGCCTGACTCCAAAGCCAGCCGATCGCCCCTTGCATGAGGCTGCTTCATGCCCGTCCATCTGCTCTGCCAGTGTGATGGAGTCTTCGACCTTCGTGGCCCTGGCGCCGCACTTCTCGGTTAGCTGGTACTCGCTCTGCAGGTGCTGCTCGCTCCTGGTGGTCATCTTGCCACCGACGGTGCGCATCTCCTCCGTGAGCTCCATCGGGTGACCCATCGTGCTGACCTGCTCCCAAATATCTCGCGGTCGATCGCGTAGGGCTTGATGCCATCTGGCTTGGTCTGGGGCTCCGTCGCCGTCTCGGGGAATGTGATGCCCTCCCCATAGGCCCCCTGCTGCAGGTGCGCCTCCATTGCGTCCTTTATCTTCTGCCGTGCCGCTTGCTTCTTCTTGCTCGTCTTGGAGTCGGGGTCCGCGGCCTTCCGAGGTCTCGCCTGATACGGGAGTGCCTTCGGGATGTCCAACTGCCGATGCCGCCACTCCTGCTTGGTGCCCTCTATCTCCAGCCTGAGGCCGCAATGGGTCCGCCACGGAACTCGCCCTCCTGCCAGCAGTCGAACTCTGGTGGCGAAGTCCACCCGCGCGATGCCGTAGTCTATGAGGCTGCCCTTGCCCCTGTCGCATGTGACTCCGGCGTCGGGTCTGACCACCACGCCGCCCAACTTGCCTGGGAGCTCAGCCTTTTCCATGTGATCGACTGGTATATTCAAATTCGCCAGGACCACCCATGGGTCCGTGAGGGACCTTACGAACCCTGACAGGGATCGAAAGCTGCGGTAATTCGACCCTCTGAAACCTTCACCTGGCACGAGGTGCGCCGAGACCAGCACTATGTTACCCGAGCGTGTGTGTACGTTGAGCGCTTCGAAGCCATTGAACGGGCCAACCTCGCCGTTGCTCACCACCCGCTTGCGCGGCGTGTCGTGGCCTGTGCACACCAGGTGGGTCTTCGCCAATATGAACTCGCCGCCCGTGGTTCCTTTCTCCGAGCGCTTCGCTGGGGTAGCCGCCGTGCCCATCAGCTTCCATCCATCCCGCGATACTTCCTCACGTGCCTGCTCTAGCTTGGTGGCGTCGGTGTGCGTCTCGCACATCATGATCACATCCTTCTGCTTGCCCTCCTCCGTGATGTACTTATGAGCTTTCGGGCCCCACGTCGTGATATTGGATACGAAGATGTTAAAGACCAGTCACAGCACCAGCCTGAGCCCTGCCATCGCCGCCGAGGACCGCGTCCTTGTACGACGTGTCGGTGGTCTTCTTGAGCTTGGCCGCTGCTCTGCCTGCTGCTTGATCTTGTCAACCAAGTCCTTCCGCTCGCGCTTCTGCTCCTCGGTGAGGGGCGGCGGGGCCTGGCCAGCCGCTGACGAAGCTGCTGTTGCCGCCGTCGCCTGTGTACATGGGGCCGCCTCCGTTTCACCTTCTGCCGTCTTCCGCTTCTTCATGGCTTGCGTGCGCGGGCTAGCAGCCTGTTGCTTGAACTCTTGGAACTGTCGGAACTGACCCGCCGTCGCCTGGAGCAGTTGATCGAGCGCCTCCATATCCGATTTGAACTTCGCGAGCTTAGTTTTGTCCTCTTCCTCGTAGTCGCCCAGGTCGTCGAACAGATCGCCGACGTCTGGCGCCTGCCACTCAGTCCGCGGCGTCGCCGCAGGAGGTGAGCAGACTGTCTCCGCCTGGTACGCCGCCAACGCGCGCTTGTGCTCCAGCATCGCGTCGGCAGCCTCTTCGATAGCCTTCTCGTACTTCGTGCGCAGGTTCTGGACGCGGTCCCCCGCCTACAGCAGGAGGCTCGCCGTGTTGTCCACCTCCAGCTGGCACTTATTGAGCTTGCTGACCGCCTGCCGCAGCTCCAGTTCCTTGCTCGGTTCTTTCTTCGGGGCCTGCGCCGCTGCCGCCACAGCCTGCGACTGCACTGCCCTGAGCGGCCCCAAGTCGACCTGTGGTGCACTGAGGGCCGACATGGCCTCGACCCTCGCCAGCATCTCGCTGAGCTCCGCCAGCGAGCCGTGCAGCTTCGGCTTCGACTTGTGCCAGGGAGGCACCTTGTCCTTGCCCTTGTCGTCGCCGCTGTCGCCGCTGGGCTGCCATCCAGGGAAGACGGCCTGACACTTGTTGCACCATCCGCCCGACTTCTCAAGCTTCCAATTGCACACCCATCCACAACAGATCGCACAGAACGTGTATGCGCTGCGCCCACGCCCCATGCTGCGAGAACTGCCGTGCCTGGGGGCTGGTGTCGGGCGGCAGCGCGCCCCTGTGGTTGCTGCAAAAGGACAAAACCTGGCCGCGGCTAGCGGTATCCACTTGACTCACCTGGGAGTCTTGCATCTTGAGCCAAAATGGCTACGGAAGGAGGAGGAGGAGGAGGAGGAGGAGGAGGAGGAGGAGGAGGAGGAGGAGGAGGAGGAGGAGGGAGGGGGAGGGGGAGGAGGAGGAGGAGGAGGAGGAGAGGAGGAGGAGGAGGGGGAGGGGGAGGAGGAGGAGGAGGGGGAGGAGGAGGACGAGGAGGCAGGAGCAGGAGGAGAGGAGGGGGAGGAGGAGGGGGAGGATGAGGAGGAGGAGGAGGAGAGAGGAGGAGGAGGAGGAGGAGGAAGGAGGAGGAAGGAGGAGGAGGGAGGAGAGAGAGGAGGAGGAGGGAGGAGGCGGAGGGGGAGAGCCAGGAGCAGACCGGCGCCAAGCCGGCGGGCGCCCCGCCGCACGAGAGGGAGGGCGGCGAGCAGCCGAGCGCCCCGCCGATGGGGGCCCTGCCGCCCGGGATGCTCCGCGCCTCCGTCTGTCCCACCTCGAAGGACTCAGGGGAAACCCATGCCAAGAAACACCCTGCTCGCCTCCTTCTGCTCCTCTCCTCCTCCTCCTCCTCCTCCTCCCCTCCTTCCTCTTCCTCCCCTCCTCCTCCTCCTCCTCCTCCTCCTCCTCCTCCTCCTCACCTCCTCCTCCTCCTCCTCCTCCTCCTTCCTCCTCCTCCTCCTCCTCCTCCTCCTCCTCCTCCTCCTCCTCCTCTCCTCCCCCCTCTCTCCCTCCCCCTCCCCCTCCCCCTCCCCTCCCCCCTCTTACCCCTTCTCCTCCCTTTCTCCCCCTCCCCCTCCTCCTCCTCCTCCTCCTCCTCCTCCTCCTCCTCCTCCTCCTCCTCCTCCTCCCCTCCCCCTTCTCCTCCCCCTCCTCCTCCCCCTCCTCCTCCTCTCCTCCTCCTTCCTCCTCCTCCTCCTCCTCCTTCCTCTCCTCTCCTCCTCCTCTCCTCCTCCCTCCTCCTCTCCTCCTCCTCCTCCTCCTCCTCCTCCTCCTCCTCCTCTCCTCCTCCGCCCCCCCCTCCCCCCTCCCTCCTCCCCCTCCTCCCCCTTCTCCTCCCCCTCCTCCCCCATCCCCCTCCTCCTCCTCCTCCTCCTCCTCCTCCTCCTCCTCCTCCTCCCTCCTCCTCCTCCTCCTCCTCCCTCCTCCTTCCTCCTCCCCCTCCTCCCCCTTCTCCTCTTCCTCCTCCCTTTTCCTTCTCCTCCTCCTCTCCCTTCTCCTCCTCCTCCCTCCTCCTCCCTCCTCCTCCTCCTCTCCTCCTCCTCCTCCTCCTCCTCCTCCTCCTCCTCGTCCTCCTCCTCCTCCTCCCCCTCCTCCCCCTCCTCCCCCTCCTCCTCCTCCTCCTCCTTCCTCCTCCTCCCCTCCTGCTCCTCCTCCTCTCCCCCTCCTCCTCCTCCCCCTCCTCCTCCGCTTCTCCTCCTCCTCCCCTCCTCCTCCGCTCCTCCTCTCCTCCTCCTCCACCTCCTCCTCCTCCTCCTCCTCCTCTCCTCCTCCTCCTCCTCCTCCTCCCCCTCCCCCCCATCGAAGGGCACAGGGGGCTACTGCTGGGGGGCCGAATCTTCTTCCACCACCACCGCCACCACAGGCAGGACGGGGGAGAAATGAGGATTACGGGAACAAGCAATGACATCTTCATAGAAATTCGGAGGTCCGCGCAGATTTCTTGGATCGGCGCTTGACCCCCCTCCTTGGCTCGCGGAGCGCGCCATGGGCGGCGCCCGAGGCGCCGCCACGGGGGGTCCAGCGCGGAGCCGAGGACCCCGCGCGTACCTCCGAGTTGTTGTGTTTATGTCATTGTTCGTTCCCTTAAGGATGGGGAGGTCCTCCTCCGCCTCCTTCGTAGCCATGTTGGCTCAAGCGATTCTGGCTCAAGCTCCAGCACATAAGAGAGAGTTGTTCAGTATCGATTGCATGTTTATCGTACCGCTACCTTACGTGAGCTCCTTTTACCGCCGGCCATGGCGCGCCTGGTGTTACTGTTACTACGTGTGCGTGCGTCTGTTATCTGGTGCAGTGCCTTCACGTCGCCTCAGCTCGAACCGCCCACGTCACGACAGCCCCGTTTGGCCGCCGACGCCACGAGAACATCGTACACCCTGGTTGCTTGCCATGAGTCCTTGGGTGCTGCGAGGCCCCTCGGCGAGGCACACTTGCCTTGTTCTATCTCTTGGCCCCGCCCGGACGTGTGCATTTTTCTCGGCGAGGACCATCGACCGAGCATTTTCGTTGGGTGGAGGGCAAAGGGTGAAAACTGAAATGCCGGTTCGATTGATTTTCGAGGTTTGAGTCTGCAAAAGGTGAGTCACAAGACGGACTGATCTTCGAGGTGCAAAATCCCATCTTAATTTCACCTTGAGCCCTCCACCCTAGCAGATCGAGGAGCATCCTGACTCATCGAGCAACAAACGCATACGCGAACGTGCACAGGGGAAGGGTCGCTCGAGCGACGGCGAGCTCTCCGCAGGCATGCAGGAACTGGGCTGCAGGCTACACGTACTTCGGCTTCGGCTGCTCGGAGGAGGAGGAGGAGGACGACGAGGAGGAGAACGAGGAGGAGAACGAGGAGGAGAACGAGGAGGAGAACGAGGAGGAGGAGGTGGTGTGATGATAGAGTTCGGCGAGGCGTCCAGCGGCAAGCCCCGTTCTGAACACCCGCCCCCGCCCATGCAAATGGTGCAAACGCGTGCGAGCGTGGCAATAACATCAGCACTCCATCTGCAGTCTTGAGGTGCCAGGAGTGCGGGGGACAAGCGACTGTGGTGCACCACTGCTCAGGTAGAGCCGCGGTTATCGGCAGCGGGGTCGACTGGCTGAGGGGAGGCTAGCACCGGGAGCCCGCTTACATGCAGGGGGGCTGCAGGTTCCCAGCAGGTGTTCTGTCCCGCAGCGACGCCCACAGCTACGCACAGCCCGACGCCCTCCCCGTAGCCCTCCCCGACGCCCTTCCCGACGCCTTACCCGACTCCCAGCCCGACGGCCTCCCCGACGCCCAGCCCCACGTCCACGCGACGCGTCCTGGCTCGCCTATAGGCCTACCAAACAATGTTCTAAGAACCTTTTGTGGTCTGCACGAAATGTTCTTAGAACATTTCTGGCTGTGACTGTGGTTTAACACATCGGGTTTATGTTCTAAGAACATTGCTTTTGTTCTTGGAACAATTCTGTGTTCTAAGAACGTCTCGTGGTAGGCCAATAGAAATGCCGGGGGTCGGTCCCTCAACACGTTTTGACCAGTGTTCCACGTGGGCACGGTGTCGAGAACGCGCTGTTTCGAGTCGAGGCTGACGCGGGCCAGATGGGTGCGCACTGCGCAGACATACGCGCTCGAGGGCTGAACGTCACAGGGGGTGTGGGCGGAGGCGAAGCAGGCGGGCGGCTTCCGTTTCCGCGCCGAGGGTGTGTGTGTGTGTAATCGTGCGTGCGTGTGTGTGAAGCTTTCTCCTCCTCCTCCTTCTCCTCCTCCTCCTTCTTTCTCTCCTTCTCCTCTTCCTCCTCCGTGGAAAATCAGCCCATCGGCAGCGGCAGAAGAATACTCCTCGACCCCCGACCCCTGCGCGGCGCTCCCAGGGGGGCGATCGGCACGATCGAGGTTCGGGGGCGGCCAAGAGGAGGGGGTGGGTCGAGGTTCGACGTTTTCGTCGGCTTCGGCTGTTTTCCAGCCTCGGGGGATGGGGGTGGATCGAGGTTCGGCGTGTTCGACGTCTTCGTCGGCTCTCGGCTGTTTTTCAGCCTCGGGATGCTCTCCGGCAGCTGCGCATCGCCGAGGGCGTTCGGGGGGTGCTCGTATCGTCCCGAACGGCCGCCAGAGGCCCGAGTTATGACCCGAAAACCAACGAACGGCCAACCCCGATTCTCCCACCTTCCACACCTTCCGACCAGCAGATGGCTGACCTAGTGATCTCCTCGAGGGTTCGGACATTGAGTAAACTGGAGGGCTTTCACGTGCCGTGTGCCGTGCCCTGGGAGGCGATACTCGTTCGACACCGTTTCGATACTTCTCTGGGTGCTCGAACTTATCCGTAAGGGCTTCGCCCCCTGCCGCCGGCCCCCTCTCTCGGAGAATGGGACATGGAAGAGCGAAATCATGAAGCTTTGGCTTCGCCGTGAAGCAGTGTCGGGACCTGTTTGTATTTCGACCCTGACCCCGCCGATCTGCGTGAGGGGTGTCAATTTGTACCCACCCCAGCAATTCAGACAATACGATTTGGGGGTGGTAAAATGCCCGTTTTGGGCCTCCCCCCCTCGCGCGGTCCATCAACAAGGAACAGTAAGCAGCAAGAAGCAGAATTGTAACAAGGAACAGTAAGCAGCAAGAAACAGAACTGTAACAGTGGTCCTTAAATACGATGGGAGCAACAGAACTCGAGGGAGAAACACAAATGTGGCAAATCCCTTTTGTTTTTGGACCCTGACCCCGCCGACCTGCGTGAGGGGTACCACCGAATGTCAGAAATGTGGCAAATCCTTTGTGTTTTTGGACCCTGACCCCGCCGATCTGCGTGAGGGGTGCCACCGAATGTCAGAAATGCTGCAAATCCTGCGTGTTTTTGGACCCTGACCCGCCGATCTGCGTGAGGGTGCCACCGAATGTCAGAAATGTTGCAAATCCTTAGTGTTTTTGGACCCTGACCCCGCCGATCTGGGTGAGGGAGAAACGTACAAAGCACGAGCACAAACTTTCGGAGCTCCGCGCGGATTGCTTGGATGGCCGCTGGGGACTGCCCTGGCGGCGCCCAGCGCAGATCCCACAAATCCGCGCGGGGCTCCGACAGTTTTTGCTTTATGTCAGTTGTTTCCCCTGAGTGGGAGGAGGAGGAGGAGGAGGAGGAGGAGGAGGAGGCGGAGGCGGAGGAGGAGGAGGAGGAGGAGGCGGAGGAGGAGGCGGAGGACGATGACAAGGACGAGGACGAGGACGAGGAGAAGAGGACGAGGAGAAGAGGAGGGAGGCTCAGGAGGCCGAGAGAGGACGAGAGTCAGGCGATCGCAAACATGGATCAAGCGGGCGTGGATTAGCGACGGGTCCCGCTTCCATGGGAAATCGCGGATTGCCATCGCCGAACGAGGCGGCCCCGGCCGCATTTTGGGGAGGGCACCTCCCCCGATCCATGGATCAGGCGACCGCGCGTCAAGTCCATGGATCGCCAAGCCATGTTTGCGCGGCCCCGAGAGCAGACCACTGGGTCGGAAGGTGTGGAGGGTGGAGATTCCGGGCCAGGGGGGCGGAAGAGGTAGTCGAGGATCCAGGATCGTTTGTGACGTTTCCGTCGCTCCTCGCGGAAGTCTTCTCGCTTCGTGGTGCTTGCAGCGGCTGCGCCTCGCCGGGAGCGTTCGGCCCGGCGTGCCCGAGCTTCGTGCCGGCATCGGCCGTCCGAGGCCTGAGCAGGGACCTGCAGACCGCCACCCCCCCGAGATCCTGGCGACTCCATGTTTTCGAGCCGGGCGTTTTCGCGGAGGAGGAGGCGGAGGAGGAGGAGGAGGAGGAGGAGGAGGAGGAGTCGGGTCGCGATCCGCTTGTTTCTTGCGTCGTGATCTCACTGTAGTCCGAGGCTTGAGGTGCCACGGGATGCGCGGCTGATGGAGAGCATTCGCCTGAGATCTTGGCGCGACTCATATTTTTGTTCGAGCCGAGCGTTGTCGCCTCTTTTCGGGCCCCAGGACCCTCACAGGTCGATCCGGCTGGTGTCAATGGCGCCGAGAGGTGGGGTTCCGGGGCTCCGCTAGGCGCGGATCTTCACGATGGTGCAGCTTCGTCGCTGCGTCGGATCTCAGGGCCCTCGCATCTTGGAGAGAGCACGACGGAGGGTAGGGGCCAGTCTTTCAAGCAGAGGCGGAGCGTCCCAGCTCGCCTATAGGCCTACCAAAGAATGTTCTAAGAACCCTGTGTGGTCTGCACGAAATGTTCGGAAAGCGTGACGTTCCCACACCGGAAAACAATGGAAGTCCTGGGGTCTCAGGGTTGGGTTTTCTCGTGGAAGGTTTCTTGTGGGCAAGCTCCTAATGTATCGGCGATGCATGCTGCATCGCCGATTCCGGGCTCGATTCGGTGGCGAAATTCGAAACCCACCCTTGCCGATCAACGTCTCGGGCAACTCGATGGGCGGCGGGGGTAGGGTTCGGAGGTCGTCGAGCACGTGGCGAAGTCCGAACCCGACCCTCGCCGCCAATCGATTTAGGAGAGTCGATGGTTGTTGGTGGGGGTAGTGTTTGGAGATCGCCACCTAGTATTCTGTCATCGCCGATTCTGGGCTCGATGTTCCCCCGCCCCTGAGTTGGTCCCCCCGGCCTCGAAGGACTCTCCCGGCGTCCGCTTCCAGCCGGCGTCGCAGGCGCCGAGCGCCGACGACGTGGCCGACGGCGATGACGCTGACGTGACTTCGACGACGCGACGGCGACGACGCCGACGCCGATGATGACGCTGGCGACCGCGGCGGCGGTCGACGTTGTCTGGAGTCAGAGTCTGGCGGGCATACGCCAGCCCACAAACGGAAACAGCAAATTCGACCTTCAAGTCTCGTCAGCGACGCCGCCGACAACGACGCCGCCGACGCCGCCGACGACGACGACGCCGACGACGGCGCCTACAACGACGACGACGCCTACAACGACGACGACGACGACAGATCGAGGACGATGACGACAACGACGCCGACGCTGACGTCGACGTCGACGTCGACGTCGACGCCGCCGCCGCCGACGCCAGCGACGACGGCGACTGTGACCGCGGCGGCGGCGACACCGACGGTGGCGTCGTTGGCGGCAGGCGCCGTCCATGGCGTGGCAGTCGGGCTCCAGCGGCAAGGACAGGGCCACGGCCAGGAGCGACGGCGCGGGGTCGCTGGGCGCGGTCGTGGCGCCTTCGCCGCCGCCGGTGCAGATGACGCCGCTGATGCCGGTGGACATCCCGAAGAAGGAGCATTCAGTCGGGCCCGTCCCTCTACAGGAGGAATATTCATAAATAGTCAAAAAATCAGATGGGGCCGATTTTTTGACTGTTTTTGATCATTGTCGGGTATTTTTTGTGAATTTTTTATTTTTCGTCCAAAATCCACTTGTAGGGGGACACACCCGATTTGAAAGGAGCGTCGACGAATCGGGCGGGTGGCAATGGGGGGTGACCCATATGGGGGGCGAAGAAGAAGGCCCTACAGGGGCCCTCTAGGGCCCCTGTAGGGTACCAGCTGGCCCAGGCAGGGGCCCTAGATAGGGCCCCTTGAAGGGCATGCTTCTTCGCCCCCCACTTGGGTCAACCCCCAGAGACCCGCCCGGAAGAAGAAACCAGCTGCATGAACATCAAATTCCGGAGCTCCGCACGGATCTCTTCGGTCGGCGCTGGGTCCCCCCGGCGGCGCCTCTGGCGCCGCCCCTGGCGCGCTTCGCGCTCCAGGATCAGGGGGGGGGTCAGCGCAGGACTAAGAAATCCGCGCGGGGGGGGGAATCGGGGAACATGGGAAAAAAATCCACCCAAGATTTGGATCTTCTGGTTGGGTTGGGTCAGGGTGGTTTTAAGTGGTGCCTGTCCGCCTGTCCCTCTCTCTACAGGAGGAATATAAAACAATGAAAAAATAGTCAGGGGACGATGTTTTGACTACCTTCGAATAGTTTTAGAGGTTTTCAAAATGATTTTTATGGTTCGTCCAAGCCCGACCTAAGGGTGGTCTGGTAGGTAGTCAACAGCTAGTCCTGGCGGAATCTCTGTGGTGTTTCTTGGAGGACTAGTTCCTTCGTAACAGAGCAGTGGCAAGACGTCCAAGTCTGCTTGCAGGCCAACCAAAGCATCATGCTTGTAAAACTGATTTCAGTATATTCGAACTGTAAGCATAAATTGTTGGCGCTCCGCGCGGATTTCTTGGATCCGCGCTGGGCTCTCCCCCCCCCCGCTGGGCCAGAAGTTTATGTATGCCATTTGTTAAATATTCGAATCGTGGCATGCCTGGTCGAGGCAGCATTGTGTTACGACGATCGCTAAATTCCCTAAACACTGCTTGCGCTAGGCGTTCTTACTTCGCTCTCTCAGCGATTGACTGGCATGTCTTGAGTGTCGCCTGGTGCCCGCCCGTGAGCGCCTCGTGCTCTGGCTGACGTCTTTGGATGCATGCCGACTGCGCCACCCAGCTTGCATCAAATGGCCAGATTTCACCAGTCGTGTTTAAGCACGTAGCTTGCGCCAAGCTGGGAGGCCGGCTGGCTCTGGGTCGGTGGCGAGCCACTGCTCGACGGTCTTCTCGGGGTGCCTCGAGCCAGGGTGCCCCGGAGGGCCTGGAAGGCGGGGAGGCGCCGCGCTCCATCATGAACCGCGCGCGCGGTTTCGTTGGACCACGGCGTCGACACTGGCGCACTGCCCTGCTCGGCTCTGTTGAGGTCGATAGCGCAGGCGCCTGACCAGGAGCTGATCTGGTCTTGCGATGACCTCGAGGGCGCCTTCTACACGTTCAGGCCGCCCGGCGCGCGGGCCCCGCTCTTCGCGTTCGACGCCCAGTTCGGCGGGGCGGACCTGTGCCTGAGCGCGCCGTCTTCGGGCCCCGACTACCCCAGGGCAGCCGCGATGCCGATGGGCTATAGTGCACTGCGATGGGGCTGGCGCGCCGCCGATGCAGCGCATCCACGGGCGGACGTCCACGGAGGCGCAGGGTGGCCCCTCGCCGTTGCCCAACGCGGACACGTGCGCGGGCGGGCCCGGGCCCGCGCTGCAGGCTGGGTCAGCCCTGCGGGGGCTCTGGCAGGTATGCTGCGACGACGCGGACTACGTGGGGCCCCAAGGCGGCCCTGGCCGACTCCGCTCGGGAGCGCTACAGCTGCCGCAGTGCGCCGCTCGGTAAGACGATGGGACGAGAGTCACCACGTGCCAGCGTCTGGGCGCTCTGGTGGACGGCCCAGACGGGCGCGCGAGGGCCCCCCTCTCCTGGGCAGCGTTGCGCGCCCAGTTGGCGACCCATCTCCTCGTGATGGGAGTCGGCATGAGGGTGGTGGACCCACCTGGGCTGCTTTGGCCACGAAGGCAGCGCCGTCTTTCGGTGGCCCCGGGAGGCCATCGTGCGTCGGGGCACCGGGCGTCGCCAGAGGCTCGAGCAGGATGTCTGAAGCGAGCTGGCGCTGGCCATGGGCCTCTTGCCCCTCCCCGAGTTCGACTGCGCGCGAGGATCAGCGATGCGGCGACGGCCGCCGATGCGTCGGAATCGGGCGGGGCCTGCTGGACGCGCGCTCTCCGCCCCGAGTTTTTCGCCGCCGCGCTGTCCGAGACCTCGCCCGAGGTCGGGGGGGCGTGCTGGGGCGATTCAGGGCGAGGTCGGCCTCGTCGAGCTGTTTGGGGGCATCGGCGGGGGCCGCGTGGCCCTCGAGCGCCCTGGCATCGAGGTCGCCCAGCGCGCGTCGGCCGAGGTCTTCGAGCCAGCCGAGCGGGGTATCCAGTTGCGGCGGCCCGATTGCGTCGAGTCGGGCGCCGCCCGCCCCATCGCGGCCGCGGCGATGCGCGACCACTCGGCGCGGGCGCCGCGCTTGGAGGCCCCTTCCGTTCTCGGGGGGTCGCCCTGCCAAGGTTGCGCGGGCAAGCGCGGGCGCGCGGCTGGGGCGAGCAGCTTCCCGAGCTCGTGCGCCGCATGCCTCGGGCGTGCGAGCTGACCCGCCGAGCAGCCCCGAGCGCGCGGGCATTGCGCCTCGGTGAGAACGTCGGCTCCGCGAGCGCAAAGGACCGCGAGCGCGTCGGCGATGTGTTGCGGTCGATCCTGAGGTTGCATTGGATCAGCTGGCCGCTCGGCGCGTCAAGCCTGAGCGGGCCGAGAGAGGTAAGCGGGCAGGAGTTGCCGGGAAAACCGTGGCCGACGAGTTCGAGGCCACGGTCCTCCACGCCCGGGTGCTGAACAACTGCCCAAGTTGCGCGCAGGTCCGCAGCGGGCAGCGCCTCCTTCAAGCGCCGCGGACGCAGGATTGGGGCCGACCGGCACAAGCCCTGCAGCCTGCGCCGGGGAGGCGCCGCGTGATTTCCAGGTCTGGTGGAATTTGATCAAGACCTGCGTCTGTGGGCGCTGTGTACGCCAGCCGACAGCGCGCATTCACATCCAGGGCGGCGCGGCGATGCTGAATCGGTGCCGCCTGACAGTGTAGGAGAGGGCGAAGTTGCCCGAGGGCAGGGCGCTGCTGCGCCGCCGCCTGCGATTGCGCGCCCAGACGATGCCTGCGCGCATCGTCGACGTGGGGAGCATGGAGGGGCGCGTGCGGCCAGGTCTCGCGGCTTTCGCGGGCCAGGCCGAGGCCGCGGCCCCTCTCTGTCACAGTGGGAGGGGGCGGCTGCGGCCAGCCGGAGCTCGCCGACGGCCGCGGCGAGCTGGCGCCCCGCCTTGTCGCATGGACGCTCGCACCGCAGGGCGCCCGCCGCTATGTCGCAGCAAAGCAAGTGCGCCGCGCGGCGAGGAGGAGAAGGGGGATGGAGGAGCTACGGGGTCAGGAACACTAGTATCTCGCCTTCGTGCGTGAGTGCGACGGCCCCCATTTCTCGACGACGTCCTGTCTGCAGCCTTTCGGGCCACCCGCTTCATCCAAGGTGTGTGTGCGCCGACGAGCTGAGTTTTTCAAGCTCAAGGCTGCTGCGCCTGGGCAGTGGCGCCCATGGCTTGGTCTCGCGGCATTCGCGGGCCAGGCCGAAGCCGTGGTCCCTCCCCATCACATTGGGGGGAGGCGGCTGCGGCCAGCTGGAGCTCGCCGACGGCGCGAGCTTGGCGCCGCGCTTTGTCGGGCGGCCGCTCGCGCCGCAGGGTGCCGGCCGCTGCGGCGCAGCAGAACAACTGCTCCGCGCAGCGAGGAGGAGGCTAGAGGGGCAAGGGGGCCAGGAACACGACATAGATTGCATCATATGCGTTTCGTGACATAGGTTGCACCACATGCATTGCGCCACGTGTGTAACATCTCGTATCTCGTGTACTTCGCTATTTCTATACGCATACTAACACATGGTTGCGCCATGCACATACTACGCCACACATGCTTTACATCAGGAGTACAATCACCCACTACTTGGGGTCCGCATGGGCAAACATGAAAGAGTCCATCTGCTTGCGGCAAGCCTCGCCATCGTGCTGGTCTAGCGTGGCAACAAGCACGGTTTTGAAATCAAGACTGGATCCTGTTCAGTTCCTTGTCTGAAGTGGCTTTGGTCTTGCATGCCCGCTTCTGGTCCGCAGCCCCGTTCTCATGTCCTTTATCTCCTGCACCTCGTTATCCCCCCCCTTCAAATGGGAGACACGCGAGGAACACGAAGAGGAGCAGGGGGAATTGGCTAAAATTGAGTTTGAGACGCGTTCCTGTGTAGTGCCTCGGCCGAGCCCTCGCGATGCGTGAATATTCTCTGCTCGTCCACAGCCTCGTTACTACAGTATTCATTATTCATGTTTCCTCTCCTGCTCTATCCCCGGTTGCCCTGATCCCCGGACTGCCTGGCTCCCACTTATGTGGGGTAGTGATCTCGACGTATGGTGGCAAGAGGAAATGAGGACAGGGGAGGCAGGTTCAGAGTTTAAGAACAGTCTCTTCCCTCTCCGCCCCTTGCCCTCTTCAATGCCTCTTGGTAGCTTGCTGTGACCCTTCGGGTTTCTGTTGGGGCGTCTTGGGGGTGTTTGGAGGCCCTCACTGAGCCTCTTGATGGCCTCTGGAGGGCATGGTGGCGGTCTCGGAGGCCATGTTGACGGGGAAGGCGGCCAGTTCGAGCTCCGCCTCTTGGGGGGCCTCTCCGGCCGGCTCGGGAGTCTCTTTGAGGCCGTCGCGGGGTTTGCTGGGCCCGCCTTGGGAGCTTTTGGAGCCCTCCGGGGCCGTGTCGGGGCGCCCTTGGAAGTCTCGTTGGCCGTCCTGTGCTCGTCGGAGGACTTCTTGAGCGTCCTCTTCGATCTTTCTAAGTGCGGCATCTTGTGGGCCTCCTGGCCCGTCTTGAGGCCATCTCGAGTCTTGGGCCGTCTCGGCGCTCGTTCGACCGTCTTTGGCTCAGCCGGGGGAGTCTTGCAGCCTCCTCGGAGCCGTCGTTCGCTCCCTTGGAGCCGTCGGAAAGCAATACCAAGATGGGCGTTCATGTGAGCATGCGCGCGAAGCTCGGGGGGGTGCCCTACAGGCACTTTACAGAAACCTCACCAGACAACAGGGGCGCATTGTAACGCGCTCCCGCGTGCTACAGGCACGGCGGCGGATATAGCAGTCTTAAAGCACTGGCGTTTGCCTGCGGTAGCCTGGCGTCTGCCTGCGGTAGCCCTGCAAAGCAGGCCAGGACGGCTGATGCCCGCTCCCAAAGGACGAGTCCATGCCACGGCTGTCCGGCATTGTGCGGAGCAGGACCCCCGGGGGGCTTCAGAAACAGCCGCGGAGGTGGAGTGTCGGGGGGGGGGGGGCTGGAAGGAAGCAGGGGGGGCGGGAGGGCGGGAATGAGCAGGGAGGCAGGACGGGGACGAGGGGCAGGATGAGGAGGAATTGGTGGGAGTTGAATGCGCGTCGTGTGGGTGGTTGGAGGGATGGAGTGAGAGGGGGAGTTGCACGAGCGAGCGAAGACGATGAGGAGGCCGAATACGAGGAAATCAGCACGGGAGGAGGGGGAGGTGGAGGAGGAGAAGGAGGAGGAGGACCATTGCAAGCCCAAGACGCATCGGACTCCCTCCAAGCTCCCTCTTTACATGTCCCTACAAGAACTTCTCTCCATTGCGGGAAAGGGCCAATGAAACGACAACCGTTTGAGAACCCGCAATCGCTCCCAGACATTTACCGCGGAGGATCAACGTGACTGTCGCGTCTTGACAGTCCTACATTGTGCCGGAGCACCGTTCCTGCGACGTCAGCACCGCGAATCAAGGTGATCGTTGCGGACCTGACGACCCTAGATTGTGCCAACACTTCATTCCTGGGACTTTAACCATACGAATCCGTAAAACCATTAAGCGTTTCAAGCGAACGTGTTTGGTGCTAAAGCGAGAACCAAAGTTTGAAGCGGAATATGTCTTTGAAACCTCTGCAACCTCTCAACAGGAATGCGCACTGCGCTAAGGCAAGAGCCACATTTTGGAGTTGAACCGCCTTCCATCTTTAAAACGGTTGCAAGCTTTTACGACGAATATGCGCGGCGCTAAGGCGATAACCACATTTTGAACATGACCCGCCTTCCATGCATGCAACTGCTGTACACTTTGAAAACGAATGTGCACGGCGCTATTGAGAGAGCCACATTTTGACAACGACACGCCCTCCTTCCATCCGTGAAGCTGTTGCAGATTTCACGCTTGAGGATCATAAGTGGTGAGGAGGTCCTTGGCGAGACGCCCGGCCCGCCCTACCGTCACGTTTGCAAGTGCGTCAGGGAGGAGTTGTTGATATGAAACAGGGACGGAGGCGGAGGACGAAGAGGAGGAGGAGGTGGAGGAGGAAGAGGAGGGTCTCTTTCTTCTCCCATTCACCTCTTGGCTTTTCTCACCCTCCCCCTGGCGTTGGCCAGGGGGAGGGATCGAGGGCGCCAGCAGCAGCAGCAGGTCCGAAGCTCGAAGCTCGGAGGAGGAGGAGGAGGAAGAGGACGAGGAGGAGGAACAGAGGAGGACGAGGCATGGTTGGAGGGAGGCCCCCTCCCCAGAGGGGAGGGGATGGGGGGGAGTAGTGGCAGGAGGGCGCGGTTTTCGCCAGGCAGACCGACTCCAACTCGTGCTCGGGCTCGCAGCCGGGAGGGATCTCGGACGGCGTCAGGCTCGGGGGCAACGATAAGCGGGGGACAGGCGTACGGGGGGGATGTATCGGCCCCAAGTCGCCCATTGATCGCCGACAGGGGCCCGAGAGCCGTAGCCTGCTTAGGAACCAGCGGACTCACGATCGGGGCCCTCGGGGGTCTGTCGACGATCTGGCGTCGTTGTGCCGCCGATTCCAGGTCGATGTCTCCCCGTCTCCCCCCTATGCCTATCCCTCCGTACCGTTGTCCCTCACAGGCGCACGAGGGAGTTCGAGAAACGAGGCTCCATCCGCAAGGCGCGTGTCGTTGTCGTCCCAAGACTCCTAAGACTGAATCTGGGTCTCCCAGATAGGGCCCGAGTAGACGGGGTCCGAGGATCGCGCCGCATCGCCGATGCATCGCCGATGCGGCTCGAAGTGAGCCCGATGTTCTCCACGCCGACGCCCTCGATGCATCTACGATGCGGTGCGATCCTCCGACCCTATCTACTCGGACTCCACTTGAGGGGCCTCTCTTGAAGGCTTCCTGGACGCCTTGGGCATTCTGGACCAGACGCCAGATGGCCCCGCGGGGGCGTGAGGACGCTGATCACATCTGGCCTCCGCGCGGCCTGGGCCAGAGCGGCTGCCATTCTCTTAGGGGGGGCGGAGCGGGAGGCGCGGGAGGCGCGCAGAAAGTCGCGCGTCGACCATTGCAGGGCGCGACGCGCGAAGCGGGCGCGGTGGTCCAGAGGCGTTCGCGGGCCCGCCGTCACCCCTCGCTGCTTTTCGCCCGTGCCGCTGCCCCTCGCTGCCCTTCGCTGCCCCTCGCGATGCCGCAGTCGGCCCGGAGGGCCCCGCCGCTGCCTTCGTGGCCTCCTCGATGCTCTGCGTGGCCCCGCTGTTTGAGCCCCCCCTCTCAAGGGAGGAAAAGCCACCCGGACCGGACAATCGGCGTTTACTAAACAGCCTTGATATATTATTTTTTGGGGTGCGTTTATGAAACGGCTTCGCGTGCCGGGGTGGTTATTATCGGGGTGGATGATCTGCCCTCTACCCTCGATGCCGTTCGTGGACCCGAGGAAGAGGAGGAGGAGGAGGAGGAGGACGAGGAGGAGGAGGAGGACAAGGAGGAGGAGGAGAAGGAGGAGGAGGAGGAGGAGGAGGAGAGGGGGGAGGGGGAGGGGGAGGGGAGGGGAGAGGGGGGAGGGGGAGGGGGAGGGGAGGGGAGGAGGGGGGAGGAGGAGGAGGAGGAGGAGGAGGAGGAGGAGGAGGAGGAGGAGGAGGAGGAGGAGGAGGAGGAGGAGGAGGAGGAGGGAGGAGGAGGGAGGAGGAGGGAGGAGAGGAAGGAGGAGGGAGGAGGGAGGAGGGAGGAAGAGCCCCTACTGCGGACCTTCGTGGCCCCTTTGTGACTCTGCGCGGCCCTCGCGCTGCCCTTCTTGGCCCCTGTAGCAGCCCTAAGCTTAAGTCGGGCCTGCCCCTCTACAGGAGGAATGCAGTGGGGGCCCATGTTGGGGTCCTGGGGTCTCAGGGTTGGGTTTCTGGTGGAAGGTTTCTTGTTCTCGGGCCCCTACTGCATTCAACAATAATATAAGAATCTTATGGGGACCATGTTGTTGAGTATGGTTTGCATAGGTTGGTGCATGTTTGGTACATCTTTATTGTTCGTCCAAAATTCGCTTGTAGGGGGGACACGCCCGACCTAACTCTAAGCGGCCCCCTTCCGCTCAAGGCTGCGCTAAGTACACGTGGCGGGGAATACAGATATCACCCTGAAAGGGGGTACACTCGAAGACGAAGAGGGCGGGTATCCACGGTTTGGGAAACACGTGTTGTTTGGCCCGCATGCGCATAAGAGCGAACAGCCTTGACTTATCGAGTGTTGTTATTAGTGGTGGTGATGATGCTGCTGCTGCTGATGATGATGATGTTGCTGCTGCTGTTGTTGTTGCTGCTGTTGTTGGTGCTGTTGTTGCTGTTGTTGTTGTTGTTGTTGTTGTTGTTGTTGTTGTTGTTGTTGTTGCTGCTGCTGCTGCTGTTGTTGTTGTTGTTGTTGTTGTTGTTGTTGTTGTTGTTGTTGTTGTTGTTGTTGTTGTTGTTGTTGTTGTTGTTATTATTGTTGTTATTGTTGTTATTGTTGTTGGTGTTGTTGTTGCTGCTGTTGTTATTGTTGTTGTTATTGTTGTTATTGTTGTTGTTGTTGTTGCTGTTGTTGTTGTTGTTTTTGTTGTTGTGGTTGACTCTCGCGCGGGACTCACTCACGATGTATTCAGGAATCGCGCTCTCGCGTGGGACTTCCTCGCAAGTTGTTCAGACGCCGCGCCTTCGACACTCAGAAGTCACGCTTTCGCTGTGGATTTCCGGATGGTTTTTTGGGGAATCGAGCTATCGCTCGAAGCACCCTTGTGATGCATGCAGGACGCACGCTTCAACAACCCGTCTGCTCGACCTGGCCGCCTGGACCGGCCTTCCCGATCCGCCCGTCAGGGTCGACCCGCCCGACCAGCCCGTCTGGTTCTGCCACGTGTTTTCTGCTGCTAGCCCCCCTCCTGCTACTCTCTCTCTCTCTCTCGTGCTCCATCCTCCCCCCTCGTCCTTGCACCTTCCTTCCATCGGCCCTCTCTTCCCTGCATTGGGGGCTGCACAAAATACACGTTGCAGGTAAGAAAGAGATGCCCCGAAGGAAGTACAATCGAATGGGACGATGGTTGGGATCGAGGATTTGGGTCTACGTTTTGAATGGCACGCGGGCAGGTAAGAGCGAACAGTCTTGAACTGCTTGGTGTTGTTGTTTCTGTTGTATGTGTTGGTGGTTCTGATGCTTCTGCTGCTGGTGGTGGAGGTGTGGCGGTTGGTGTTGAACATCGCATTCTAAGGGCTAGGTATGGTTGGCCCCCCTGCCCGATGTCCATTGTGCTGTTCAATTCAAGTGTTTCTTACGGGGCTCGCACCTTGTTTTTGTCCAGGTAAAGTGTGTGGTCAGCAAACTTTGCTGCTGGGCCCCGAATTACAGCAACAACACCAACCACAGTTCCCGCCTGATACGCCCTCACAGTTTCTTGAGCAATCGCGCTCTCGCGCGGGACTTCCCCACAATGTATGCAGGAATGTGTTCTCGTGTGGGACTCCCCGGCAAAACATTCAAACGCCGCGCCCTCAACGCTCAGGAAGCGCGCTCTCGCTCTGGTTTTCCTCGCGGCTCACTTGGGAATCGCGCTGTCGCCTGAGACCTTCTCGCGATTCATGCAGTAATGCAGTACTCACGCTTCAGGAACCCGCCTGCTCGACCTGGCCGCCTGGGCCCGCCTTCCCGATCCTCCCGCTAGGGCCTACCCGCCCGATCAGCCCGTCTGGTTCTGCCACGTGTTTTCTGCTCCTAGCCCCCCCTCCTGCTAATCCCGTGCTCCATTCTTCGCCCTCCCCTTTCCGTCCGTCCTCTCTTCCCTTGTTCAAAGGGATCGCTAACTTCACGTGGCATGTGGGGAAACTATACCCCCAGGAGGGTACGATCGCAGACGAAAGGGGCGTATATCGAGGGTTTGGACTGGGCGTGTTGAGTGGCGCGCGGACAGACAGGAGCGAACAGTCTTCAAATGCATAGTGGTGTTGTTGATGTTGTTGTTGTCGCTGCTGCTGTTGTTGGTGTTTGTGTCGCTGTTGTCGTCGTTGTTGTCGCTGCTGTTGTTGCTGTTATTGCTGCTGCTGTGGTTGTTGGTGTGGTTGTCTTTCTTGCTTGGTGTGGTGTTGCTGTTGTTGTTGGTGTTGCTGATGCTGTTGTCGGTGTCGTTGTCGTTGTCGTCGTTGGTGTTGCTGTTGGTGTTGTTGTTGGTGTTGGTGTTGGTGTAAGTGTTGGTGTTGTTAGTGGTTTTGTTAGTGTTGCTGGTGTTGGTGTTGGTGTTGTTGTTGCTAGTGGTGCTGTTGTTGTGGTGGTGGTTCGTGTTGTTGTTGTTGTTATTGTTGTTGTTGTTGCTGTTGTTGTTGTTGTTGTTGTTGTTGTTGTTGTTGGTGTTGTTGTCGTTGTTGTTGTGGTTCGTGGTGTTGGTATTGGTGTTAGTGCTGTTGTTGGTGTTGATTTTGGTGTTGTTGTTGATATTGATGTATGTTGATAGTGGTTGCGTTTGTATATAATTGTTGATCTTTCTACTCTATTTATATTCCTCCTCGTATTTCTACTCTTCCTCCTCCTCCTCCTCTCCCTCCCCCCCTTCCCCAGTCCTCCCTCCCCCACCCTGAAAGGCGAAGCAGATTTTTGCGAACGCGGACCAGATGAAGGAGCAGGTCCAGCAGGTGACCGCAAACGGGGCCAAAGGAGCAGCTAGCGCAAGCTTTCAGAGCCGATAGGACGGTCGCGCCCCTCCTCCATCTGGGAGGAGGAGGAGGAGGAGGAGGGGGACGAGAGTCGAGGTTCGAGGTTGTGGATGTCTTTGATCTTTTGTGGGCCTTCGGAGGGCTCTGAAGTGCAAGCGTTGAACAACATACAACACGTATGGCCTCTAGAAGTTGGGCAGATAATTGCACGTGGTCGCATCAAGCAAGAAACACCCAGCTGCCCTTGCGAATCATGTAAAAGCAGCGTGCTGATGGTGGGCAAGAGCAAGTGACGACAGACGTGATTCTATCTTTTCTAGACTCTCTATAGCATGGATCGAAAAGAAAACGCTTCGTACACATAAACTTTCGGAGATCCGTGTGGATTTCCCGGATCGACCATGGAACCGCCTGGTGCCCTCTTCCTTTCCTCATTTGGAACATCTCCCTCCTCATTTGATATCAACTTTTCACTCTCTACTCGTTTATTTCTCTACCACCGCCTCTCTGCTATCTGCTTTTTGCAGTCTGCTCTCCACTCTCTGCGCTCTAACCTGTACGGCCTAGTCCGTCCGTGCTTCTGATGCCCCAGGAACCTGGCCGTAACGGAGAAGCCAGGAATGCAGGAGCCCGGAACCAAGAATTTGGGATCCAGAGAATTTGGCCGCCCACCGAAATTCGGCGACCCGCCGAGGGGTGTCGCAGAATGTGGCGGGGTTTCTCAGAAGCCCTCCAGCCTTCTGAGAAGACCTCTGAGAGCCCCTTATGGTCTGGAGGTGTTCTGAGCCTTCGGGATCGGGCGGGGCCAGGACGAGGATCAGTCCGCTCCAGAGTGTTCCGGAACGCCCTCAGAGCGTTCCAGAGCGCTCCGAGAAGGCCGCGGCGCCCGATACGTCCTCCAGTCGGGTTGACCCAAAAGGGGGTCCAGCGACAAGGGGGTGGTGCAGTAGATTTGGTGCATTACATCTGTGGGGTTGCAATACATTTGGGGCATGCAATACATTCTGGGGCGAATACGTATCGCTGGATTTTCGCGTGCAATACCTTACTTGTAATACAATGCCACACATATCGCCGGCGCAAAACATTTGCTATACAATCGCCCCAAAATGATTGCACCGCCCCCTTTCAGCTGGACCCCCTTTTGGGTCACCCAAATCCAGAGCCGCAGGATCTCGGAGGTTCTCGGTGTACCCTCGTCCGAAGTCGTCCTCGTCCTGGCCTCGGCGTCACCCCAACATACTTATACTATAGCTGCGTCGCCCCCCAGGGGAAACGCGCGCATCGAGAAGTCTTATAGAACATGCGTCGTGGCGGGCGCTTTCTGGCCACACCGCTCGGGAAACGGTGTACGACAAGATGGGTATACTATAGGTTCGGGTCGGACGCGCGCCTCCAAGGAGGGCATATAGTATTAGTACAGTGGGGGCCCATGCCAAGAAACGCCCTGCTTGCCTCCAGGGTGCCCTGGGTTTCTTGGGTTTGGATGGTTTTGCGATGGAGAGCGTGACGTTCCCACACCTGAAATCGGTGGACGTCCTGGGGTCTCAGGGTTGGGTTTCTTGTGGAAGGTTTCTTGTGATCGAGCCCCCACTGTTCTCCAAATAGGCTTGCCCTATAAGAGTCCTAGCTCAAACCCTACCCGTTGCCCCCCTAATTCCTCTGCCCCCCCTAATTCTTATGGCTATGCCTATGCCTATGCCCATTCCCCACCCCCTTTTTCCAATGGCACCTTCCTTATGTGTGCTTGCTTGCGAGCTTGTTTGCTTGCGCGCTTGCGCGCTTGCACGCTTGCTTGCACGCTTGCTTGCACGCTTGCTTGCTTGCGCGCTTGTGCGTTTGCTAGCCCGCTTGCTTGTTTGCTGAGTTTCGGATTCCAAGCATGCTCGATTCCTCTGATTCCTTGATTTGAGTCGTCTAATCTATTTGGAGTCAACGCTGGCTGCTATATATATATATACACATATATATATACATATATATACATACATTTTTTTATATATATATATATATATATATATATATATATATATGTATGTGTCCCTGTGCGTCCCATGGCCTCGTCTCACGGGAGGGCCCGCCCTCCTCTTCCTTCTCCTGCTCCTGCTCCGCCTCCTCCTCCCCCTCGCGTCCGCGCGGGCCAGGAGCGGCCCAGGGCGGAGCCCGAGTTTTTTGAACGGCTTGGGAGCCCAGATGGCCACGCAGGAGGGGGGGGGATGTAGGATCGTGGAGGGGGAGGGGCAGCAACAGCGGGAGCGGGAGTGGCAGCAGCAGCACGCCTGCCCAGCAGGCGATCCTGCAGCCGGACTACGACGTGAGGGAGCTGTACAAGACCGAGGGGTGCTTCCAGGCCGTCGCGCGGAGCTCGATCTTCGACATCTGCGGGCTGACCCTGATCATGCTGAACGCTGTGTGGCTCGGAATCGAGACCGACCTCAACGAGAAGGCATCTTGGGAGGGCCGTTGTCTTACGACTCCAGCTGCAGCTCTTTGCCAGCCCCTGGTGTGCAGATGGGCCACCGTCGGTAGCCAGGAGCGGACGCACGAGGGGCCCTGGGAAGTCTTGTGCAGTGGTGCACGCTCTCTCTCTTCCATCTGGACCCGATCGACTCGATCCTACATCGATTCCGGCCGGCTCGATCCGTCTTTGGCGGCGCGCCGCCCACGTCTCTTCGACGACATGATGCGGCCCGAGGTGTGCATGGCCCCGCTGTGCCTCCAGGCGTGGCCGATCCGGTGCGGCTGCGACCACGGGCCGATGCGGCCTGGTGCGACGCACTGGCCCGATCCGGCTTCCCGACTCGATGCCGACGGTCCTTGCCCTCTCCCCAGGCCCTGCTGGTGGACGCCGACCCCCCGTTCATCATCGTGGAGAACTTCTTCTGCACGTGCTTCTGCGCCGAGCTGCTCATCAAGTTCATGGCTTTCAGCAGGAAGACGGACGTGCTGAAGGACTCGTGGTTTGTGTTCGATTCCGTGCTCGTCTGCTTCATGGCCGCCGAGACGTGGCTCCCCTCCAGCTCGGAGAATACAGTGGAGACCCATGCCAAGAAACACCCTGCTTGCATCCGGGGCGCCCTGGGTTTCTTGGAATATTGGGTTTCGATGGTTTTGCCATGGAAAGCGTGACGTTCCCATACCAACAAACATCAATGAACGTCCTGTGGTCTCAGGTTTGGGCTTCTTGTGGAAAGTTTCTTGTGGACTGGCCTTCACTGTACGGAAAAAATGGGCACAGCGACTAACAGCAGTCCTTGTCCATTTCGAACAGGAATCGCTGTCGTCGTCCCCGCGGTTGGCGTCCGTTTGAGACAGAAGGCCGCCTGCCCAGCAGCCGCCGCCGTCGGTTTTGGACAACATGTGCTGTTGGGCATATTACCCATTCTCGTCGTACCCATTTCCGGCGTCCAAAGCCTCCTTCGAGCGGTGCTGAGGGTGACTGATGAGGGGGTCCGCAGGTGGTCGCGAGGCACTCGCCCTGTCTGTGAGCGCGGGGAAAAAACAGATCCTCCTTCCTCTCGTCGGCAGCACTCCTTCCTCCAGCCGGCCGCACCGAGGCATGCTTCTGCTACGTGTGCGTCGGCTCCCCCCCCTCCCCCCCGGTGGCGCCGCGCTCTCTCTCGGGGACCTTAATCACCGATGCTCGGCGGCGGGCGCTTGCTGGGCGCACCGTCTGGGCACAGCGATATCCTCCTCCTCCTCCTCCTCCTCCTCCTCCTCCTCCTCGCCCTCCTCGCCCTCCTTCTCCTCGCCCTCCTCCTCCTCCTCCTCGCCCTCCTCCTCCTCCTCCTCTTCCTCCTCCTCCTCCTCCTTCTCCTCCTTCTCCTCGCCCTCCTCCTCCTCCTCGCCCTCCTCCTCCTCGCCTCCTCTTCCTCCTCCTCGCCCTCCTCGCCCTCCTCTCCTCCTCCTCCTCGCCCTTCTCCTCCCGTCGCCCTCCTCCTCCCGTCGCCCTCCTCCTCCTCCTCCTCCTCCTCGCCCTCCTCCTCCTCGCCCTCCTCCTCCTCCTCCTCCTCGCCTCCTCCTCCTCCTCCTCGCCCTCTTTCTCCTCCCCCTCCTCCTTCTCATCGCCCTCCTCCTCCTGGCCCTCATCCTCCTCCATCTCCTCGCCCTCCTCTTCCTCCTCCTCGCCCTCCTCGCCCTCCTCCTCCTGCCCTCCTCCTCCTTCGCCCTCCTCCTCCTCGCCCTCGCCCTCCTCCTCCTCCTCCTCGCCCTCCTCCTCCTCCTCCTCCTCCTCCCCTCCTCCTCCTCCTCCTCCTCCTCCTCCTCCTCCTCCTCCTCCTCCTCCTCCTCCTCTTGCTCCCCCGCACCACACGTTTTTTTCGGGCGTGCGCACCCACGGGGTGCGCACAGTGGCATCCTGTCCAGGCTCCTCTCCATCCTCGTGTGGGTCACCGCCGGGTCCCTCACCGCCAACTCCAGTTCCACGTCCGTGCTCCGCGTGGTGCGGCTCTTCCGGATGACGCGTGCTGCGCGCGTCGCTCGCGTGTTGAAGGCAGTACCAGAGCTGATGGTGATCGGCCACGGCATCGTGATCGTCGCCCGGACGGTGGTCGTGATTTTCTGCGTGTTGTTCTTGGTCAGCCGCAGAGCAAAACCGACACACTCTTTTTACGTCGAGGCGCCGCAGTGGCAGTCCGCGCGCGCGCTCGGGCAAAACCGACACACACTCATGTGTGTGTGTGTGTGTTTTGCTTCGAGCGGTCCCCACCCGAGAACTCGAGGCGGTATCCCCAGGGAACACGGGGGTCCTCGGGGCCTTGCAGCCGCGGTGTTCCAACGTTTTTCGTCGAAGATGCCTGGCGGCACACCCACGGGGCTTGGCGGCCGCGGTATTCCGGGTGGGTGAGGCGGATCGGGCGCTCTTGTTAATCTACCACGCCCCGCACTGTCGGGTGGGGGGGTGAACTTTCGAAAGTTTTCGCGCATCCACACTTCGTCGGAGCTCCCTCCTCCTCCTCCTCCTCCTCCTCCCCCTCCTCCTCCTCCTCCTTCTCCTCCCCCTCCTCCTCCTCCTCCTCCTCCTCCTCCTCCTCCTGCCCCTCCTCCCCCCCTCCCTGGATCGGCGCTGGACCTCTCTCCCTGGCGCGCACCGCGCGCCGTGGGGCGACGCCCGGGGCGCCGCCAGGGGGGCTCGGGCCCAGCCAGCGCGGACCTTCAAGGAGTTCATGTCTATGCGGCTTTGCTCCTCCGGACTCCCTGGAGGGGCTGGGCCTACACGCTGTTTTGCTGGACTTTCGGAGGAGGAAAAGGTACCCAGGTAGCCATACCTCTGCCCCTCGCCCGTTTTCCCCTTTCCGGGCCTCCTCGGAGGCCCTCGTCGCCACCGCTGGATTCGCCTCGGAATTATGGTCAGAACGCACTCCGGGAGAGGTCCGAGGCGGTAGCGGTATCAGTACCTTGTGGTTTCCCCAGACTTCGGCTGCGTTGTGTTCTTTCTTTTTTTGGCAGGGGGGCACAGGAAGACAGGTAGAGCGAAACGAGAATACTGAAACAGAAACCGAAGAACGACGTTTGGGTCCAGCTCTGCTCCTTAGGTCATCTACACCTTCGCGATCGTCTTCACCCAGCTCGGCAAGGGCACCGAGCTCGAGAAGAGGCTCTGCCCCGACATGCTGACCACCATGGGCACGCTGCTGCTCGGCGGCATCCTCCCAGACATCGCCCCGACCACGCTGGAGATGGCGACGGAGCATTTCTTCTTCGGGGCGTGCTTCTTCATCTTCGTGCTGATGGCGTACGTGATGATCATGAATCCAGTGGCGCTGCCGCGCGATGCCGCGATTCCGCGCCCGGGCCGCCGGTTGGAGGACTTCTTCGGGGGGCGGGGCCCCTCGGGCTGCGATGCTCCAACCTGATTTATGAGGAGGGGAAGAAAAACACACAGACACAATCGCCCATTCCCACGGAAAATATGCGAAAATATGGGAAGGTGAGGGGAAGACAGAAACTCAGAAAATATGTGGAAATATGGGGAAACCTGCTATTTGTGTCTATTTATTTGTGTGTCCCAGGGCCTCTTCAATTTAGCCGTAGCTACCAGAAAGAGAATTTCCAGCACCCAGAACATCCCGAAATTTGAGGGTTTTCACGTGATGGGCCATGGGAGGCGACACTCGTTCGACATTGTCTCGACACTTTCCTGGGTGCTTGCAATTATATCTGGATGTGGTCCTTACGTACGGGAGTAATGGATTATTTCGGGGTCTCTCGGGGACCTCTTGGGGACGGCTTGGGGTGCTTTCTTGGCGCGTCTGACGCATTCGGAGGCCGGGGCTTTCGCGCTGGCTTGGACCGTCTTAGGGTTAAGACGGGCCTGTCCCTCTACAGGAGGAATATCCAACACTAGTCCAAACATAGTACGGGGACGATTTTTGAGTATTTAAAAATAATTTTGAATTTCTGTTTGGCAATTTCGATTGTTCGTCCATAGTCCGTCTATATGGGGGCCTTGTAACCCAGAAGGGTTTCCATACCTCCCCAATCATGGGATTCTGTGTTTGCGCGGGCTCATTGACGGACTGGGACCCCCTAGCGATATCGGGAAAACGATTGTTCCCAGGTGGTGGCCACTGCTAATGATCGGGGTGGGGATGAGGATCCCTTGACGATGATGGTGATGGTGATAATGATGATAATGATGATAATGATGACGATGATGATAATGATGATGGTGATGATGGTGGTGATGGTGATGGTGATGGTGATGGTGATGGTGATGATGATGATGATGATGATGATGATGATGATGATGATGATGATGATGATGATGATGATGATGTTGATGACGATGGTAATGGTGACGGTGATGACGCTGCTGATGATGATGGTGGTGGTGATGATGATAATCATGATGATGATGTTGATGCTGACGATGACGATGCCGATGATGCTGGTGCTGATGATGAGGATGCGTATGATGATGCTGCTGCTGATGATGATGATGATGGTGATACTGATGATGGTGATGATGCTGATGGTGATGGTGGTGGTCGTGGTGGTGATGGTGGTGATGGTGGTGATGGTGATCGTGATCGTGATGATGATGATGATGATGATGATGATGATGATGATGATGATGATGATAATACTGATGATGATGATGATGATGATGATGATGATGATGATGATGATGATGATGATGATGATGATGACGAGGAGGATGAGGGGGAGGAGGGGATGGACGCGGAGGGGAGGGCCTAGAGCTTAGGGAGGGGAGCCCTGGCAGCATTCAAGACCTTTGAGGGTAATGGGGGCCCTGTGGGTCATCTTTGGGCCTCTTGCGCCGTCTCCCCACCCGCTTGGGGGCCTCTTGGGCCCGCTTGGGGCCACCGTGGAAGCCTGTTGGACCGTCTACGAGGATCGGAAGCCTAAAGAGGCGCCCATGCTAGAATCGTTCAAATGCCAAAGGGACAGTATTGAATCATGCATCTTCGGGCCCTCCTAGGGATCTTCGTGGAAGCCTCTTGGACCCTACTGGGGGCATCTTGGTTCGTCTGTCGTGGCCGTTTTGGAGGCCATCATGTACCGTCGTGGAGCTCGTAGGGCCATTTTGTCAGACTTGGAGGCCATCTCGGCCGTCTTGAAGACCACCTGAGACCATCTCCAAGGGTTGGTGGTAGATTCCATAGAACGCATCATCACCATTTATCTTAAGTCGCTGGACGCGGCACATTGCTTATGCCCCAGCGCCTGATTTACCTTTTGGGGCACAAGAACCCTACACGGCTGCTCATGCACTGTTGTTCCTCTCTCTTCTTTCCGTTCATTTTCGGGTCTGTGTCTTCGTCGCAATGATGCCGTGTGATGCTACTGCAATATGCTATGTGTCTGATCGGTTGTTGTCGTCGTCCCCCGTCATGGTTCTACTAAAGCCACGCGCGCGCTGTGCGGGTTACGACACACTGTGACCGTCGTCGGTTTAATCCAGGGTTGCCATGCGGACCCCTTTGGAGAGCCTCTTGGAGCTAGACCTCCCCTTTTAGCAGCAAGTGCATGAACCATTTTGGCTCCGGCAGCCTGGCTCCCGAGGCCTTGTTGGATGAGCGTCGGCGGTATGAGGGCTTTCCCACTGGGCGTTCGGTTGAGCTCCCTTTGCAAGGGCGCCCTCGAGGGCACGAAGTCATTCGTGATTCGCGATTCGCGGCTCGGCTCCGGTTCCTCATCCTCCTCTGAGCATCGTTCAACCGATCCCTATGCCCAGCGGCGTGACCTGGGCCCCACTGGCCGATCTACCCCCCTGAGATGGGGATGCAGGCCGTTCCCTGCGGGTCTCGAGGGGTGCATCCCCAACTGGGGTGGCAATCTGGTGGGGGTCTCGAAGGGGATGGGGATGGGGATGGCCACGAGGCCCCGACGAGGGCCCCAAGACGGCCCAGGATGCTCCCCAGACAACCCAAGTGTGCCCCAAGAGCGCGCCAAGAGAAGGCCCAGAGGGGTCCCGAGGCGGCCCGGGCCCGCCCCGAAGCAGGCCACGACAGGCTAATGGAGGTCCCGAGAGGGCCCAAGGCGGTCCCACGAGGCCCCGAAGACGCCCAAGCTGCCCTCAAGACGGCTGTCGAACACGCTCTAGGACGGACTCAAGAGGCTCCCCAAGAGGCCCTGGGAGGCAAGATTCACTAATTTTCCGATGTTTTTTAAGAATTTAGGCGTTCTCGTTTCCCCCGTTTCCCAGCGCTCCCTCACGGCCTCGCTCGGAGGCCCTTCAGATCGCTCCAAGACGGGCCACGAGGCCCCGAAGAGGGCCCCAAGACGGCCCAGGAGGCTCCCAAGACAAGCCAATTGTGCCCCAAGAGCTCCCCAGGAGAGGGCCCAGAGGGGGACCGCCAACCGATATTTCGAGGTCTCTGGCCCTAGAGGCCGCCTGTAGGCCCCCAGAGGCCACCAAGAGGCTCCCACGAAGCCCCGTGAGGCGCCCAAGAGGCCCCCAGGAAGCCCCAAGAGACCCCCAAGGGGCTCCCAGGGAACGCCCAAGAGGCCCCCCAACACACCCCAATAAATCATGTCCCCAGAAAGCCTTCCAGGGACATGGGTCATCATGGGCCCGAGAGTTCCCGGAGGCACCCAACGGGCCCCCAGGGAACGCCCAAGAGACCCCCCAACACGCCCCAACAAACCATGTCCCCAGAAAGCCTTCCGGGGACATGGTTCATCATGGGCCCGCGAGTCTCCGGAGGTTTCGAAGTACCATCATGCTACAGGAGAGCTGTCTGGGAAGTTTATTGGGAACATGACTGATCGCCTTCTCGCGGCCCTCCGCAGATCGTTTCGCACAAAGTTGCCCCAAGTGCCCTCTTGAACCGACGACGACGACGTTGAAACGACGAAACGACGAAACGACGACGACGACGACGACGACGACGACGACGACGACGACGACGACGACGACGACGACGACGACGACGACGGCGCGCCCCAATAGGCGACGACGACATTACGACGACGACGACGACGACGACGACGACGACGACGACGACGACGACGACGACGACGACGACATTACGACGACGACATTACGACGACGACGACGACGACGACGACGACGACGACGACGACGACGACGGCACGCCCCAACAGGCTCCCCAAGACGCCCCCAAACCCATGCTCCCAGAAGGCCTTCTGGGAACCCGATTCATACGGCCTCCGCCCCCCTACACAACCATTTTCCTCGAAGGCCTTTCGTGTCGAGGATCGTCGATACTGATCGCCATCAGCGGGTTCCGGCAGAGCCCTGCCGGAACACGCGATGCACACTTTGATACGTAGCCCTTTCTGGCACAAAGCGAATCATGGTAGCGGAGCGCTGTTCGTGATCCGCGGCAAGCCTCGCGCGCGGCGTGGCTCGGATCGGCGCGCGCCAGGCGGCCCCAGCGGGCTCGCGGCGCGGCGCGCCTTGCACCAGGCGGATCCGACGAGCTCGCAGTGCAGCACGGGAGCGGCAAGAGCAGCGGCATGGCCGTGAATGACGATGATGTCCTTCGACTGTCCAGGCCACCGAGCTTCACGGGCAAAGAGGAGGACTGGACCGCATGGTCTTTCGTGATGCGCTCGTACCGAACGGTTCAGGCGGATGAGATAGCGGCCTTGACAGAGGCAGCCGAGGCGACTGCGGAGTCCGACGTTTCCATGGCCGCGATCGAGCGCACGCTGGGAGCTGGAGGCCGCCAGGCAGCCAGGAAAAGTGGGAGGTCACCTCAGGCGACGTCTTCAACGTGTCCATGAAGAAGGCACTGTATATCGACAAGGCGCCAGCTACGGTGAATATGCTCTTGCAGGTGCAGAACCTCGACGACTTCGCCATGATGAAGAGCGGCACCCTCCAGTTCCTCCAGAGCAACGCTGACTACGTCGCTGGAGTACCGGTTCCACACCGCGCCCGACGCAATGGTGGAGGCCAGCAACGCGACCCGAATGCCATGGAAGTAAACGCCCCGACACGCAGAGGCAAGGACAAAGGCAAGGACAAGGGTTCCAAGAGCGGTCGGGGCAAGGGCAAGGCCAAAGAGGACGGGGGCATCAACCTACGCGCGGCGTGGGGACGAGACGTTGAATGTTGGACGCGCGGTCGAAAGGGACACAAGCAGGAGGATTGCTGGTACAACCCGAAGGGCAAGGCGAGCACCAAGGACAGGAAAGGCAGGGGCCGTAGGGCAGGACCGAAGCAAGTCAACGAGCTGCTGGGCCAGGACGACGCCACGGCTTATCCGGGTACGTCGACGGTGGCCCCTTCGGCGTCGGCGAACCAGGCGGCTGGGCCAGGAGT